CTATGTCCCCTCCATTCGCTCAGTTGTAGAATCCCTTCACTCTTTCTGCCTGCCTCTCACAGCAGAGTCCATCCCACCAACTCCCAGCCTTGGCACATGCCTAACCTCAGATCCCTCCACTCCTGCTCCCATGCTGCTTAATCGCTCTGGAAAAAGCCAAGGACCCTACAGACTTCCTATGCTACGTCAAACGCTACTTCTCCACCTCATGAGTCTCAATCCCCACATATGTGCCCACAATCCCTGCCCATTACCGATCTGCAACCTCAACTTCCTCCTTAAATGCCTACTGTATTTAATTTATACTCTCCTTTCATACCCACTGCTAAAGGCGTGATATGCATGAATGTTAAAATGCAGTAGCCTAATGAGCTGACAAGTTTGACCCTGTGGTGTTAGGAACTGTATGGTTAACTTGTCAACAGCTGCTGAGATGCATTAGCACTTGAAGATGAACTGCAAATGTAAACCAAAGTGAATTTACTTGAGTAATATGCATTCAATGCCCTAGTAACCAGGATAAGAGGGGTATTTGACACTTAAAAATAATTTATTTAATACTGAAGCCCGGTTGGCCAGTTTCGCTCAGCTCTGATGTACAAAGTGATGTATTTATTACAGGTACTGCACCTAGGAAATCTTGTTGACGCCTGGAACTGGCATAGGGTGTAGGGAAAGTAGGCTACAGTATTTTGGTTATGGTTTCCAAATATAAAAGAATAATATTTTGAACCCCAGAAACTGCACCAGATACAAACATTAAAAAATAGATACGTGATGGCCATAGGCTCCAGCTCCATCATGTTACCCTAAAGAGTTGTGACATCTCAGAATAATGCCTTGTGCGTCATGACAGATTTTTTGTATTGCAGTAGCACCTAGGCACTGTTCAAACACAGAACACAGTCTCTGCCCCAGCTTACAAGTTAAAGTTTCATCTGTACCGAAACCACAGGCTGTGATTGCAGTTTGTGCAGACATACTCGAGCTAGCTAGATTAAAGCTAGCTCAGGTTCAGAAGCAGTGTGTGCTTCGGCACAGGCTGTACAAGCCCACTCAGAACCCTGGCTAATTACTTGTGGGGTTGGTTGATTTAAAGCTAGCTTGGGTATGTCTACTCGAGCTGTATTCACATCCTGGACTACAGTCTAGACATACCAATAGTTGAACCTGAAGCACTTCATTGGATCTAAAGAAAATGACTTTTCTGTTTAGATAGCCTCCCTGATCCCAGTTATCGCTAAATGCCATTTACCCCACCACCACCACCCTTCATCTGGAACTGGGCATAAAGAGAAGGGATCCCAAATGCTGTGCACCCCCCCCCCTCAAAAATCACCTCTGTTTACAGCCCAGAGAGGAATGGTGTGAAATGCAGCACCCCGGCGCTGTTTGCATGCAAAAAAGTTTGGAAGAAATGATTTTTAATCATCACTGACATTATTCGCAGCCAGGATTAAGGATCACAGCGTTAGATCCTGTGCTAGTGTAAACTGGTGCAGAAAACTCATGCATTCAGTTCAAGGTGCATTTCCTAGAAGACGTCCAATAAAGCAGCGGTCATGGATTCAGTACATTCCAGTTACAATATATTGGGATAACATTTCACATAGCCTCTTTTTTCCCAAAGCACTATATGCATTATGGACCTAGTAATGCAAGAGCAAAACTCCCATTGAAAGCAGGGTGCTCAGCAATTCACAAGGCCAAGTTCAATTATAGGTACAGAGTCTCTGGACTGCTGCAGCCTCTGGAGTGGAGGGTGGCAGCCAAATGATACACAGGATTCTTCACAGCAGTGTTTGGAGGGGAAATTCTGTGCAGTGATAGCAGGACAAACCTCCATACGTGCAAAACACAACACAGAGCTGGTTGGGAAGTTTTCAGTGGAACGGTTCTGTCAGAAAATGTCAATTCATCAAAACCAAAAGTTTTTTGTTGGAAAGGGTCAGTTTTAACAAAACTTTTGTCAGAAAGGTTTCACGAGTCCAGGATGGACTTTCCACATAGACGCAGAACCCCAGAATAGCCAGTAACCCAGTGGTTAGGGAACTCACCTGAGATGTGGGAGAGACCCAAGTTCAAATCCCTGCTCTGCCTGATTCAGACCAGGGACTTGAATCCAGGTTTCCCACATCCCAGGTGAGTGCCTGAACCACCAGGCAGGCGAATGTCTATTCTGGGGTCTCCCTCTTTTTGTTTTTTCGCAAAACATTTTGAAAGGTCTTGTTTCATCCCAATATGGGGGGAAATTTTTGAAACCTCAAATTTTCATGGGCTGGACAACTATTCCCCACCCAACTCTAATCACAGGCTGCACTATTTACACATAGATAACAGAACTTTGTTTTTAAGTCTTATATGAAAAATTCACATGTATGGAACACAATCTATCTATCTTGAGGATAAGGGGCAAAGCCAGTCTTGCCTAGATTTGAATTTATCATTGTTGCATGGAGATTATTCCACACTTGATGTCTAGTGGATGGGGGAAAGCAGAAGACATGATATATCTTAATTTTAGTAAGGCTTTTGACACAGTACCACATGACAGTCTCATATGAAAACTAGGGAAATGTGGTTTAGATGAAATTACTAGAAGGTGGATGCACAACTGGTTGAAAGACTGTCCTCAAAGAGTAGTTATCAATGGCTCACTGTCAAACTGGGAGTGTGTATCTATTGGGGTCCCAAAGGGGTCCAGTAGTACTCAATATTTTCATTAATGACTTGGATAATGAATTGGAGAGCATGCTTATGAAATTTGCATTTGACACAAAGATGGGAGGGTTGCAAGCACTTTGGAGGACAAGATTAGAATTCAAAATGACCTTGACAAACTGGAGAATTGGCCTAAATTCAACCAGATGAAATTCAATAAAGACAAGTACTTCACTTAGGAAGGAAAAAATTAAATCCACCACTACAAAATGGGATATAAGTGGCTAGGTGGTCATACTGCTCAAAAGGATTTAAGGGTCACAGTGGATCGCAAATTGAGCATGAGTCAACAATGTCATGCAGCTGCACACAGGCTATCATCATTCTGGGGTGTATTAACAAGAGTGGCATATGTAAGACATGGGAGGTAATTGTCCTGCTCTACTCACTACTGGTGAGTCCTCCACTGGACTACTGTGTCCAATTCTGGGCGCATACTTTATGAAAGATGTGGACAAATGGAAGAGAGTCCAGAAGAGAGCAATAAAAATATTACATGGTTTAGAAAATCTGACCTATGAGAAAAAGGTTAAAAAAACTGAGCATATTTACTCTTGACAAAAGACGACAGAGGGGGGGGACCTGATAACAGTCCTTGAACATGCTAAGGCTGCTATAAAGAGGACTGATCAGTTCTTCTCCATGGACAAGTAGTAATGGGCGTAATCTGCAACAAGGGAGGTTTACATTAGATATGAGGAAAAACCTTCTAACTATAAGGATAGTTAAGCAATGGAACAGGCTTCTAAGAGAGATTGTGAAATCCCCATCATTGGAGGTTTCTAAGAACAGTTTGGACAAAGACCTGTCAGGGATGGTCTAGGTTTGCTTGGTTCTGCCTCAGTGCAGGGGGCCGGACTTGATAACTTTGAGGTGCCTTCCAGCCCTACATTTATACAATTCTATAAACCACTGTCATCCCCTTCAGCACAGCCTGAGGTTCAATTGCTACTCTGTGTACCCTTCTATTTTTCCATTTGTTTCATTCTGAAGAAAGTGTTTATGTCATACATTCCCGCCTCTCAATTCCTCTTCGGCTTATATACCCTGAGAATCTTCCATCTGTATGGAGAAACATCATCAAGCAGCCAGGACCCAAACTCCATCAAGCAGGAATTTTACCTTAAACATCACCTGGAAATCAACTGGTATCAAAGTGCTCCCTGTGGAAAATATTGTTTAGTAAGTGGGCAAACAAGTTCTGCTCTTAGTTGCAATTTCCAAGTGGTGTTAAGGTGTTATAGTATGTACTGGGGTAATCCAACCTGCAAGTGACATAACTGCAGGAAAATTCACATCTAAAAGAAATGGACATAACCTTATTTGCTACTGACAAGAAAACACGTTCTTGGCAACCACTATCTGGAATCCAACAAGACTCCCAGGTTACAAGCCTTAGCAACAAATGGTGGGCATAGCCATCCACCAAAGGCTCGGATATAACTGGCCATTTCCTCCATACTACAAGCATTGACAGTGTTCTCTCAGTTGATTCTCAGGCAGCTAGCTCTGATCACATCCCTCTGTTAAGACACCAGGAAAGCTATCTAAACTACTCCACCATAAGAAACTGACACACAGAGCTGGATGTCCTCAGACACTACAACCCCGGCATTCTTAACTACTGGATTGAACCTTTCTGGCATGTCCCCCGTTACCTGTAATGGAACCTGTCTGCAGCCCCCCTGGGAACCGCGATCAGGCGCTGGGGCGTGGAGCAGGGCTGTGGCTGGGAGTCAGGGCTGCAGCTGGTGCCGGGCCATGGCTGGAGCCCGAGGCTGCAGCTGGGAGCAGAGCAGGCCTGGGTGATGCTCCCTCCCTGCCCCCCAGGGGGGCTAGCCTGGGCCCTGCTGCACTCCCTGAATGTTCCTCCAGCCCACATCACAGTTTGGGAACCACTGCTCTAACAGGATTAGTATGGACACCAGAATCTTTGTTCCTCATCAGGTGGTCAGCAATCCCATCCTAGCAGTGGGGTCTCCATCCCACACCCAGGCATACAACCAAATTAACTAGGGTCAAAAAGACACTAGGACTCACATGTGTGTGTAACTTGCTACAATCTTCTTGATAATCTTCATCCAAAAAGAAGATTTGAGACAGGACAATAACTGGATTGCCAGTGGCAAGAGATGATTTCTTGATCAAGAGGTTAACAATTGCTTTTTTGAGGAAAGTTGATACCTTGTCCTTCCATAGGAAGGGGCTGACAAGAGCTCAATAATAACAACGATGCTAACGCTGCTGGAAGGGCTGCACAGGGACAAAAGAAAACATACCTAGAAGTGCAGTAAGTTTGGGAAGCAGCCCAACTTGGACCATCTTGTTTCTCAGGCCCGTGTCAAAGGAGAGGTTCAGTAGAAGTCGAAGGGTGATATTCAGCAGGTCTTCATGCTCACATGGTACCATTTTCACCAGTTTTTCCACAATATCCATTTCAACCTGTATGAGAAGCATGAGAAGTCACTAAGCCCACAACCTACCCAAACCTTTGCTTTTGTTAGCAACTATTTTTAAAACTATACTTATAAATGAAAGCAAAAGCAAAGCCAATAGTTAAAAGTTACCACAGTGTCTCGATTCAAAGTGGCTTCACCTTCCAAAAGTTTGGCTTTGTGGCTAAAAATTTTCTAGGACTGCTCTCTGGCTAATGATTTTTTTAAAAGGAAGATTGAGCTAATGGACTCAGCCATCTTTGGAGTATCAGATGAATGGGGGGGGGAAGAGGGGAGAAAGAGACCTCAATGGGGATTGGCACAGGGATCCACTTGCAGAGTGACTTCCAGGATCAGGGGTCTAATTCAAACACAGATAACCTTGGAGTGATCGCCATTAGAAGTCAGATAGATACCCAACTGAGAGAGAGACAAAATTGCTATCCAAGGAGTATGAGCCCTTTCCTTGCATGTTTGAGTGAGTTCTAGGCAGGATTCGGTATGTACTCTCATAATGTCATGCTGCCCTGTATTTTAATTTAACAGAAGCATTAAAGTGATCTTGGTAGGTGTATCACTAAGATTACAGGACATAATCTAAGGACTGAGCAGCAGTATCATTTTCTGATATGTTTTCCTTACCAGCCCAAGAAAAGACATCTGATCATTGACTGACAAGTCTTCAGAAAGTTTTTCTCACCATCTTCTAAGCTACATCTGTCTGCCGTTACTGGCCATAAGTGTAAGTTAGTTTGAACCCTTTACGCTCTTACCATATGCATTAGGATTGTGTCTGCAGCCCATCTTTCAGTCAGAAACATGCAGAGAATGAACTCAAAGCAGCAAGAAAACTGTTAGCACCACGCTGGTGATCTTCATAAATGTGCTATATTATCCAAATTATTTGCATTACACTAGATCTCTGAGTCCAAATCGACCAATAACAATTTCTGCCTCATTGCTTTAAACATAATTAGCAATGATGGCACTCAGAAGCCAAGGTGACAGACATGATACAAACACCAAGATAGATTAAATGATCACACCATTAGTAGTTTTGCCCAAGTAAGTAAAACAGGATAAAACCTGAAACAGCTAAACTTGGCTCATTTTGTCCCCAAAGGTTATTTAGACACAGCTAAAATGAGAGAAAACCTACAACTTTCAGAATCCTATCTCCCTCATCAGTAGCTTTCTCACTGTATGGGAAAAGTAAAGTATTATCTGTATTATGAAAAAAATGCATGTGAAGATAGCCAAGCTAAGCTGTATGGTCTATTTGAAAAATGTTCAAGGCTGTCCAAAAAGTTCACAATAAAATAAACATTAATTTTGTTTTGTTTGTTTCCACACTAAATCAAATGGAATGTGGAAAGTATGCCAGCCAATCAGCTGGTGGGATAGCTAATCCTTATTAGACCAGTAAGGTGCTTCAGGGCAGTGCATGATTATAGATTGATCTCAAGAGCACATGACTTCACCACCTAAGAAATACAATAAATTCCCCAGAAATACATTCTTCAGGGTCTTACGAATAAGGGAAATACCCTTGTTCCTAATTGTATGTAAATACACAAGAGCATGACAGTCACTAAGATACAACTGTCTACAATTCTCAGCTCATTTTTACTGCATTTATATATATACCTTTTCAACTCAGGATCCAAAACGCATTAGAAGCAATCGTTAAGTGTCATGATTTCCCTTTGAGGTTGGTAGATAGGTAAGTAAGGATCATTATCCCCATTCAACAGATTGGTGAACTGATGTAAACTGATAAAGTGACTTGCCAAAGCCACAAAGGGATTCAGTGAATGAGGGAGTGGCTGCATTTGTCGGCTCTCAGAGCCAAATAAAAAAAAAAGTCCTTCCATTTTCCCAAGGACATGAAATTTCTTACCACCCACCCAGGTTTATGGAGAAAGTCCCTGCATTAGGAGCCAGCAGTAGCAACATGAAGCACTTCTGGGCTGCATTCTACTACAGTATGGAAGATCCTGCTGGCTTGGGAAGGCAATAGCCCAGTCTAGCAGTCTGCTAAAGTGTAACCAGATCTCCTTCCCTGAGACAACAAGAGTTAGAGATGAATGTCAAAAAGAGGGTCTGGTTGCAGGCTGGTTTTGGGGACCTCCAGATGTTTGGATAAATACCCAGACTTTTGGATGCTTATACCAATCTTTGCAATTCCTCTCTTCGCCAACATATTTACATGTAATTTTGCTATGGTGAGGCTGGCTCCCTACATGATTCTATATGTAGTTTTCTATAGCAGTCCCTGCTGGGGCTTGCATTACATTTACTGTAGTCCCTTCATAGTACTAAAATCAGGGCTACAATTATTTTAAAAGGGGGTGGGATGCAAGAGGTTTATTTCACTTTCATTGGAATCCCTGACCCCCTCTGACCCAATGAACAACCACCATAGCATTTCTGTAGATTGCTACAAGACCTACCATGTCATTTTTGTTCTCCATAAAAATGCTAAGTTTCTTCAGGAAAGACACCACCAGAATAAGCAGCTCAAAGTTCTCTCGGTCCAGTGCTTTCACTAGCATGTGGACAATGTTCTTGTTCCTCATCTTCAGTTCTGTGCGTGTGTCCTCAGCGAGGTTCAGCAGCAGATAAAGAGCAACTAACATCAAAACCAATCATACCAATAGGTCAAAGATACTGGGACTATGTCAATCTACATCTACATTAAATGTTTAGGATGGGATTTTCAAAAGTGTTCAGCACCGACTGTACCCCACTGATTTTAAGCAAGGCCAAAGTTGAATGCTTTTGATCCCCATTTAGAAAAGAAAATTAGAATTACAATCCATTTATTATTTTATATAGGTTTTGAAAATATAGTTTTATACAACTTATGACCATCCGCAACCTTTATTTTTTTTTACAAATTCCAGGGAAACTATTAAAAAAAAAACATTCCCTTGCGGTGATTGCAGTCCAAAAATTTCAGCAGAATGCAAAATGCATTTGAAGTGAAATTAACTAGAAACTGTTGAATACTAGTCAATTACGCTATTTTTATTGTCCAAGCTAAGAAAAATCAAACAAAACAAAGAACAGCATTAATGCTAAAAATAAAAATAGGGGCCTAATTCTCCACTGCTTTGCACCTTGTGCAGACCCTTACACGTAAGCACAGTAGGAGTAGAGTGTTACCATTCTATCACTTTAGACAGTGTAAATGACTACACAAGGTGCAAAGCAGAGGAGAATCAGGCCCTACATTTTTTCAGTTATTCCAGTTTTAATAATTATCTATGTTGCTAATAAAAGCTAAGAAGTTTCTGGAAATACGTAATTTTTTTAAATTTGACTGTTTTCTTCATTTACCTTTCTCCCAATTCTTTTGCAGATCTGCATCTGCCTGCCAGACCTCAACATGTTTTCTGGCTGCTACATGGACACACACTGCGTTAGCACTCACACTGCCTGATTAGAGTACTGTAAGCATAGTTTTTCCCTGATCGCTGCAGAGCTTCATTTTTAAAATGATGAAAGTGTAAGATTATTACAAAGACCTCATTTTAAAAAAATCATTACTTCACTTTTTACAAGTGAACTTAGTGCTGGTGTAAAGCACTAGACTGAGTGTCTTGGAAAAAGAACTATTCCATGCACAGAACAGACATAGTACAGCAGCAATGCAGGCACCTTCATAATGCTCCCTGCCAGTGATCCTCAATCCCTAATAAATGAATTATGCATACAGGTGAGAAGCTTGTCAGTCTCCCTGGCTCATTTGATGGTGGGCTTCTGTACTGAGAATACCAACAAAGGGGCCCATTGATACTCCTTGTAGTGGTAGAACTGGGCTAAGAACCATCTAGCGTGTTCTGAAGAGATAACTCAAAAGGAAAAGAAATACAATTTGCTTTATATACATATTCAAGTACTAGATCTGCAGCTTGTACAAATAGGCATCTTTATGGATTTCAGTGGAGCTATAATAGTTTGCACCAGCTGATGATCTGGTCCTTGCAAGACTCCAGCACTATTCAATGGCAGGAGCAATGTCACCAGCAGTATGCAGTGTTCTGGCAAACACACACCAAAGTTCTCTCTTTGAGATTGGCCGATTACTTAAATAATGTTTAAAACATTGCCAAAGTATGCAGATTAAGACTATTTTTATTTTTCTAACTTGTTAGTAAACATCCTCCACACTAGTTAAAAGTTCTCAGCAAGTCCTGGCCCTTCATGCTGTGACAAGGATCTCCTTGCCTGTTGCTTATGTTTTAGGAGTTCATACCTCGCAGCAGCTGTTCCTGCTTGACAACCAGCCCCTGGTACTTTTTATAGGTTTTCTCATAATCCTTTTTCAGGGTTTGATTCTCAGGATCTTCATCAAGTAAATAACTGGAGTTAAGGATTGTATAGTAATAGAGCAAAAGACACAGGGAAATTACAGAGTGGGGACAAATATCAATCACAGATGTTATTTGATCATCCAGCCGGGACTACATGTCTGTGTAATAATGAATAAGAGGATGCCCATGGGACAATGTTTCTATTAAAACGTGGTCCACACTATGAATAGGTTTAGGAATTAATGGTGTTAAGGATTCTACTAGTAGTAAAAATGTCCCATATAAGCCATACTCCTGGTAAATTAAAACACTTAGGTTAAAATCATTTTTAAGAACAAAAAACAATCCCTTCTCCAGCCCAAATTTTTCACTTTTGGTTTTCATCTGTTCTAGTCCTGCAACTAGATTTTGTACTCTCTCACTCATCTTCTGTATTGACATGAGTTACTGCACATATAGTTCGTTTCAACCACTAGGAATCAGAAAAGCTGAAAGTTGCCCAGGCACAGAGAGAGGATATCAGCTTTCTTCTTCTTGGTGAGTTCCTCCTGCCAGAGCTCATGTCTCTTCAGCTCATGATCTATGATGTTCATACACAGAGCTCCAATTTTGTAGTGTGTGATTAGTCCATGAAACTGAGAAAAACTGTTAAAAAAAAGATATGCAGTGTATGAGAGAAATAAAGCCAAAAATCTGTGTTCAAAACTGGGGTAGTAAGATCTCATAGTATTGCACAATCTGACCGGTTTTCATTAGAGCTAGTCGAAAAAAATTCAGTGAAACAGTTTTCTATCGGAAAATGCCGTTTTGTCAAACTAGAAGCATTTTGTGAGAACGTATCAATTTTGATGAAACTTTTGATAGGAACAATTCAACTCATTTCATTTTGATACAGAAAAAACATTTTTTTGACTTTGTCATTTCAATTTATTTTGTTTAATTTTTAATAGTTCATATTTTAATATGTCTAAAAAACAAAATGTCTAAGTCAAAATGCAATGATACTATTTAAACTAAATGATTTGGTGGATGTGAACCAAATTTTTTTGAAATTTTCATCCACAGGAAATTTTGATTTTTTTTTTTTTGTTCAGATCTGGAACACACACACAAAAATCTGGTAAGTCAGAATTTCTCTTGGAACGAAAATTCCATTTTTCCAGCCAGCTATAGATTGTATGTTATAAAATGGTTCAGCCAGGCCACACTCGCAAAAAAAAAAAGGGGGGGGGGGGGGGGGGGAAGGGAAGGTAATAATCCACCTATGTGATAACTTCTTTTTCACCAATATTCTAGATGTAGTGAAGCTGTAACATTACTAACAATTGAACATTTCAATTGAATACTTGAGTTTTGAATACTGTTTTCATTGATGGGAGAGTTATGTGGGAGATAAGGAAGACACCAAAGAGTCCAGTGGGATAGGGGACAGGACTGGAACTCAAAAACCACGGGTTCTGTGATCCTGGCTCTGCTGAGGCTCATGTCCCCATGGGTTTACTTTCTATGCCTCAGTTTCCCCATATGTAGTGATATTTCTCAGTAAAAGTGCTTTAAGATGCAATTCCAAACTATACTAGAGCAGAAAATAACTAAAAACTCAAGGCAACTGATAGAGCAAGCTCCTCTTGCACTTACCTTGAAAAGCAAAAGAAAATATAAATAATATTAGTAGCGAGTTCCACACTTTGTTTCCAGTCTTCTCTCAGCACTCTGGCTAATGCACCCAGGGCAGTTTCTAAAAAACCAAACAAGATTTAGATGAATGGCTGTAGTGCCTCTTTCTCTATGACCTGCTTGAGCTAAACAGATTAAACACACCTTTCACTGCATTCTTTCAGGCAGCAGGATCTGACAATTAGTACAAGGAGCAGGTGAAGCCATGTAGGCCCCTGCCACCAGAGTGACCTCAGCCTTCAGACACTTTCATTAACATGGCCATTTGACTGCCTAATGTTTTTTGCATCAGTCTCTCAGACTAATCCCATTTTATGACATGGGGGGGGGGGCAGTTGGAGACGACACACTGGGGCATCAATGGTGAAACAGTTTGGCTGATGCGCCAGTGGAGAGAAGGGATTTCTGGAGAGGGGACAAGGGAAAAGAAAGGGAAAAAGAGCATCAACCTAGCATCACCACAAACCCTTAACTCGGATCTTGCTTATATAATGTGTGTCTTTACAGAGGGTAAGCTTTTTGGGGCAAGGAATGCCTTCTTCTATAACTCTCTCTCTTCTCCTCCTCCCCCCACATACACAGCACCGAGCACATTTTGGGTGCTACAGCACTGTTGAGATATAAACAGTAAATGTTGTGTGCTGGCCCTATTTTGCTCTAAGAGCAAACTAATACTAGAACCCCATCCCATCCCAAATGAAGGTTGTGGGAGTCTCTCTGAGCGGAGAAATAGCTCCACAGAGATGGGGAAAAAAACCCAGCATAACTTTATGAGAGGATTTGTAAGTTACCATTGAGCAGCAATTCTTCCAAATTATCAGGGTTCCTGGCGAGTTGTAAGATAAGGGCAGAGCCACGCACCTTATCAGGAATATCCTCATACAGTAACTCAATGTACTCATCCATGTCATTGATATTGGCTACTTCATCAATCTGAAAGCATCAAAGACATAGCTGGGCTTTGACACAGAGAAAAAGGAACCTGCTCAACATGCAACAAAAACGATGTTACTTTGCAGCAAAGCAGAAAAGAGTGCGTAGCTAAGTCTTAAGATGTAAACGACAACAAAAACCAAACACCATGTACAGAACCATTGCTACTGACTGCCCAGAACACACAAGGAGATTTCATTACAAAAACAACTGACACTAAAAGTAGCAGCTTTGTAGTGTCTAGCCCCATGTTCCAGAATCTCACTCATATTAGCCTCTAAGTATATAACCCAAAGACAAATGTGCAAGAATTTTACCACTTACGGAGAGGACTTATTTTATTATTTAATATTTTTAAACCAAGGTCTTTAATAAAAAATTCTTCAATATTTTACTCATCTGATTTGCATCTATATTTTTTCCTTTTAATATAAAACAGTTCTGCAAGAGTAAAGGTCTTCGTATTTAGCTTCCTTTAAATTCTAGCTTAGATTCCTACCTCCATTCCTTCAAAAGGTGGTGGATCTTTCGGTTTACTAGATTTCTCTTTCTTTTCTATAGTGATAAAAGACATGGTTATAATTAATGTTGTGCATATTCATTGACGATAGCATATTCAGTATTATCATAGTATCTAGGAGCCCCAAACATAGAACAAAAAGAGGATCCCAACCCCAAAGAGCTTACAATCTAAGTATATAACAAACCTCAAGCGTTGTTTTAGCATTGTAGCTAGAGCAAGAAGGAGCCAAGGAGAAAATTTCGCCATGACTTTTTGACACTCAGAATAATGTACTGCAAGTTTTTTTGTTTGTTTGTTAGTTTTTTTGTTTTTTTTTAAATGAATCCATCTTTAGAAGTCTAACATTTTTAACTGCATAAGAACTGGAAAATTCAGAGTTAAGCCCCCTTATTTATTTATTTTTATATATATGTATATGTATATGTGCTTTGGAACAGAATATCATCCCATGATTACAAAATCATGGATACCCTCACTATAATGTAGGACTGGACCTTCAGGATAAAATTTTCCTCTGTGCAGAGGGCCACTAGAAAGCTTAGGTCAGACTTACAGTGATGTATATACTTTCTGTTGGTATATACGCCACAAGGGTGGAAAACAACTGCTTTCAGTAGGCTACTCGTCTAATCAGGACTTTGTAAAGTAGGCCTTTATTCAGCATTTCCTGTGAAGTGTGCATGATGGTAAATGATGGTTAACAAAACAGTTAAAAGTAAAGCATTCCTGGATTTTTGTTGCTGACAAGAAAAGTTTGTGATGTACAGATATAGTGAAAGTTTCTGACTTTCTCTGGGGAAGGCCTTGAGGCTATGGCTATGGCTTCGTTCTCATCAAGGCCTGCATGTAAAGACTGTTGCACCCTTTTATGGAGTGACCAGCTCTCAAGCATGCAACATATTGGTCCAAAAACGACATCTCTGTGGAGCAGGAAGAGCACTTTTTAAACCCTGTGTTCTGGCTCATGCTGTGGTATGGCAGGAGTCCCTGTGGGCAAGTCCAAAATTCTACACACAAAAAAAGCATCCAAATAAACATTAAAGGTAACTGACAAATGGTAAAACATTGGGCATGGGCCTGTTCTGCTTCTTTATGACAAAGGCCTGAAAGACTTGGGGTTTTTTCGGGGGTGGGGGAAGGTTTGTTTGTTTCAAGAAAAGTTTGCTACTTGTTTGTTTGGGGGGTTTTTTGTTTTTTGTTTTGTTTTTTAAATCATAGCTAGGGCCCTACCAAATTCATGATTCATTTTGGTCAATTTCATGGTTTCAGCTATTTAAATCTGAAATTTCAGTTAATTATAAGGATCCTGACCCATAAAGGAGTTGTGGAGGGGGGGGGTGTCAAAGGTTATTATGGAGGGGAGTTGTGGTACTGCTACCCTTACTTCTGCACCACTGAAGGCAGAGCTGCCGCCAGCAGCAGCACAGAAGTAAGGCTGGCATGGTATGGTATTGCCACCCTCTCCAGTCGCCCAGCTCTGAAGGCAGCAGTGCAGATGTAAGGGTGGCATGGTATGGTACTGCCTTCAGAGCTGGGCACCTGGCCAACAGTTGCCGCTCTCTGGCCACCCAGCTCTGACGGCAACGCACAAGTAAAGGTGGCAATACTGCAACCCCCTGCAACTCCCTTTTGGGTCAGGACCCCCAATTTGAGAAACTCTGGTCTCCCGTGAAATCTGTATAGTATGGGTAAAAGCACACAAGAGACCAGATTTCATGGTTCGTGACGCGTTTTTCATGGCCGTGAATTTGGTAGGGTCTTAATAATAGCATATCATATCTAATGTCAAGTGGCTGGGTTTTTTTGCTGCCACTCTCTATTGGAGGAGGCTTCAACAAGCCTTAGTGAAGAGATGGGGTATTGAATATTTATCCAAAAAAAGCTTTTCTTCCTATTGTTTACTAGGCATTTAGCTCAAATGCCTAGTAATAAGACCAAAAGGAAAACAAGAGAGTTTTAAACCGTCTGAACAAAAAATCAGCTCCACTCTCAATTAATCAGGTTTTGCTTCCTTTGAATCCATGATGTCAAAGTACTAATTCTCAGGTCACCCACCTACAGAATTTTCCAGTAGACAAGATCTACATTTCTAATATATATAACAGGCAGAAAGGTACCATTTAAAAATAATGTAATTTCAGGTCTTCTTTAGACAGCAAGAAAGAAACAATTATAAACTAGCACTAGCCCAGTTTTTTTTGCTTTTGCACTAAGAACTATGCATTCTACTAAGAAGTGGCCACAAAAGAACACAGCAGAAAAGAGTTAAGAAAACCTAACCTATAATTGTGCCTATATAACGAAAGATCTGGGTTTGGAATCACACAGGAGATTGTTGGGGATTGGAAACTTTTATACTTTCTATTCCAGAACATGGGTTGGTAGATGTATGCCTGCAAGCCCCTAACAATTAACTGCTTTGAATCCAGGACTTGCATAGAAATTTCTCCAGGATTTTTGCCTTCTGTGTGTTTTACCAAGAGACAAAGCTGAAAATGCTAGAATTCTTTTAACATTATTAAATCTCAAAGTGCCTCAGGACTGAAGGCTGCTGAACTGGATGTTAAACAGAGGCCTAAATAAAGCTAGGGTGTAATAGTACAGCCCTGTCAGCAGACAAAGTGAGGACTTCTGGTACTATAAAGAACCTGTTGATTCTGCAATTTAACAGGCATTGAACCATAGCTTCCAGATAAAGCCATTAGAAAGCATCTATCCTATTAACTGGTTGTAACAGAAAAGAGAAGAGGTTGTAATTTTCATGGAAATAATTCCATCGTCATCTTTATAATACTATCTGAAATAATCATTTCACCATTTAGAACAGAAAACTTTAACCGAGACACAAAAATTGAAAGAAGTATCAATATTAAGTTTGACTAATCAAAATTCAAAATGTACTTTGATCATCAAAATGACAACTTTTCCCCCACAAGATTCTGTCAATTCTTCCATGTACAGCACAAAACACACACTCCCCTTCTCTCCTCAGGTTTCTGAGTATCAGGGAAAGTAGCATTTGAATTAGAAACCCCAAAATACAGAGTATCGCTATAGCTGCTACACTCCAGCTCTCCATTCCCTGTTCTCTCTATTGCTTACCTTTCCCGGAAGAGGCATCTCTACGGTTCTGCAGGTAGTACAGCAGCTGCTCCACTTCTGCTAGCTTGGAGGGGTGAATGAGCTTGCATTCTTCCACCACCTTTCGAGCCAGGGAAGCAACGTCTGTGTTTGCATTAAGACTCTTCAGCCGAATGCTGCAAGACACAGGTCAGATGGTTTTCTCCCCAGTTGATAAGATTTTTGCATCTTCAACGCTTCAATTTAAACTTATATAGTCATGAGTTTGTCAAGGCAGAGATGCTCATGCCACAGTTTGGAACAGCCGAGATCAGAAAGCAGTGGCACCCTGGAGTTCAGAACAGCAAGCAACTGTCTGTCAAATGGACTTAACAGGGTAGGACCATTTCTCACCAACTAGTCAAACAGCAGCTTTAGAGATGGCTGCATTAGCAAATGCCTCCTATCTAGTCAAGACACAGCAGCAAATAAGGAGTCAGTGGTCTATTTCCAAAAAAGTTATCTAAAGGTAACTTTCCTTTATTAATATGAAACTCCCAGAGTATAGCATAGAAAAAATACCTTTCAGAAATAAAATCGGCTGTCAGTATTGATTGTGCAGAGTTTCCTCACACTGCATTAGGACAGCCATAGACAGAAGTCTACTTTGCCATAAAGGACTCAAAAATCACAGATCATACCAGTGACAGAGAGTAAGCAAGAGCAGATATCTGTAAGCACAGACCAGGAGGTGGAATAAAAGGATTTCTATTGAGTCCTAGATGGAATAGCATGGATTCATTGCAAACCAGACAAACATTTTTAGTGTATTCAAAAAATCTGCAATAGTAATATTTTCTTATACAATGAAATGGTTATTTTTTTCCTGTTCCTTATTCTTAAAAAAGAACCCCTGCACTCAGACACATATGCTCAATCTTTCAACAACAAATTCGCCCTCAAGCAAAAAGCAGACCTGGAAAGTTTCACCTTCCAGGTGAAAGTCTGAGGAAGTTACTGGAAAAGGGCCTTTTACATCAGAAATGCTTAGGCAACCTTAACTACAGAGGGCACAACAACTGTACCCTGTATAAAGAAAATGCAGATAACATAATGAAATTGCTAACATCAACCGGACATACACATACTCCAAATAAGGGAGGCAGTGTATCCCAATGGATAGAGCACCAGAGTAGGCTTCAGAAGATCTGGGTTTTATCCCAAGCTGTGCCATTGACCACTGTGTGACCATGAGAAAGTAACTTCACTTCTCCATGCCTCAGCTTCCCCATAGGTAAGATGTGGAGAATGATAATTATTTTCCTTTACAAAGTACCTTGAGATGGAAAACAAACACTATATAAGAACTAAAGTTTAATATTACAATGAATATATGCTACAACACCACTGCAAACAACTATGCATATATGTTATTCCCAGACTTAATACTAATTTAATAAAATGTTCTGAAGTTTGAAAAAGTTTCAGTAACAAAGGAAATAATATAATAGAACACTAATTTTAAGAACTCATAGCCTAGAATTCCAGGACATTTTAACTTTAAGAAATAACCCCAAGAGTGTGCCATGAACTTACATTTTTTGACACTCCTTTCGCTCCCCCAACATGGGGTCCCCCATTTCTCCAAGAATGGTTGCTTCCACTTCATAATGAACAATAAGGGCCTTTTCGGAAGGGTGTACATCTATGTTACCTCCTTTCACCTTCCTACAAGGCAGAAAAACAAATTCATCACTGACTAAATGAGAAGCCCAAGAAATATCTGGGAAAACAGGTCAATGCGAATTGGACATCTCTGATCAAGTAGTTTGTATTACTGAGACAGATTCTACCTATATAGCATAAACCCAGCCTTGGTCTTCTTTGCATTAGCACATGGTCTCTCCCACATTCCTTCAATTTACACAAGAATCTTAGCACAAGAGTCACCTCTGTGTCTATCGGCTCTAGTATGTGCCAGGGTGGATAAAAATCAACGATTTTTATTTTTTAAAAAATAAAAAAATAATAATCAGATTTCTTTTATTTAACTCGGATTTTTTGATAAAATACTTTTTGAGGAAAAATCCTATCTAAAGATAGTTTTAATTAAGATACATTATAGCTCAAAGATATCTCATCGTGGAATAGGGATTATAAATTCTAATTCTGTATTGTGAGACAATATATTCATGTAATCTTTAAGAAAAGTTTTATAAATGAGTTCCAATAGTTCATGGATTAGGGACCCAATCTTATGGGGTTCCAGGTGCTTCTGTATAGATTATTTTGGTTAATCTTTCTATCTACCCAATGGGACTCAGTGCTCAGTCTAGAAGATACCATCAGAGATGTTTAGTTTTGCAGTTCTCAAACTGTGGATTTGTGACTCCAGAGATAACATGCTTGTTAACAGCAAAAATGTTTTTAAATAAATACATAATATATAGAGGTGAGAAATAACAGACCTCAACCCTATTGTTCCTCTGCAAATTTGTGTACACAGAGTCAATCCCTCACCTCTCTCTAAAAGTGTAACATTTCAAAAAGTTCAATGAATAGAAGATTGTTGGGGGCGGAATAGATCTGGACAATGAGAAGAAGTCTGGAGATAAATGTGAGAAGAGAGGGAGAGGCAATAGAAACAAAAGTGAAACTGTTTGAGCAGCATACTCCAGAAGTCTTGAGGTCTTTCTGAGTGTAGCCTTCATAGATTTGAGATCTACCATACCATTCTCTCACTAGAAGGGAAAACCTATAATGGCGGCAGGCCATACAAGAGACCCAGTTTGGGAATATTTAATGAAGTTCCTCTACCTGTGGGTAAGACAGGCATGCATGCAAAATGCAAACAGTGCAACAAAGAAATGCAAGGCCTGGTTGCCCAAATGAAACATCATGAGAAATGTTCCTTCTCGGAAGGAAGCTGCGTTGAAGACGATGAAAGGAACATGTCTGAACATGCAGGATTTTCAGGTTGGTAAACTTTTTTATTTCATACTTCTTTCTTAAGGACTGCCTGTATTCCTTCTGGACTATTATTGAATTCTCATGCTTGATCAATAAATATAGTTGTTACTCTATGGTACTATATTTTTTTATCACAACTGCATCTAAAATGAAATAGCTGAAATAGGCAGATCTCCCTTTTACAATTTCACCTTTAAAGTAGTACTGAGTGTCAATGAATGCAATGAGTAATACTAAATGAGCGGTGTGGTAATAATTAAATAACTACATTAACTTATTTTGTTGAGGAGAATCCATCCTCAACATACAGGATTCTGAAGACTATCCACCTTCAAGATCACCATCATTTTCTATAGTTTCAGAGTTATCTGCCAATGATAGTGTTTCAGTCACATCACGTGTGTCACATAGCCACAGTATATCAGCTATAGCGAAAAGAAAAAAAAATATATCCATCATCCAGAAACAACCATAGATAAGTCTGTGATAAGAACCAGCAGATTACAAAAAGAGGTAATTGACGAAAAAATTGCCCAGTTTGTTTATGCAACAAACGCTCCTTACTGTATGATTGAGAACCCACACTTCATTAACATGGTTCAGTCATTAAGACCAGGATACAGTCCACGCAACAGAGCAGATGTCGCAGGCAAATTGCTGGATAAAGTTTATGAAAGAGAAATTGAGCAGTGTGCAAAAGGTCTAGAAGGTAAAATTGTTAACCTGAGTCTTGATGGGTGGTGCAATGTCCACAATGATCCTGTTGTATGTGCTTGTGTGACAACAGAAGAAGGGAATGTCTTCCTTACAGAAACAATTGATACATCAGGAAATGCACACACAGCAGAATACTTACAAGAAGTAGCAGTAAAAGATATAAGAAACTGTGAAAAAAAATTCAAATGTGTAGTATGCAGCTTGGTCACAGACAATGCTGCAAATGTATACAAGATGAGACGAAATTATTTAGAAGAGAGGGAAGAGAGTCCCAAGCTAATAACATACGGTTGCAGTGCTCATTTGTTGCACCTCATAGCCAAAGACTTTAGTGTTCCAGAAATAAAGGCTAATGTTGTTGAAATTGCAAAATACTTAAATTTTAAATTTAAATTTTAAATTAATGGAGATATCCCATCTCCTAGAATTGGAAGGGACCTTGAAAGGTCATCGAGTCCAGCCCCCTGCCTTTACTAGCAGGACCAAGTACTGATTTTGCCCCAGATCCCTAAGTGGCCCCCTCAAGGATTGAACTCACAACCCTGGGTTTAGCAGGCCAATGCTCAAACCACTGAGCTATCCCTCCCCCCAGTTGTACTTCCGTAACAACCACTTTGCAGCAGCTGCTTTGAAAAATGTTGGAGGAACCAAGCTAACTTTCCTACAAGACGTGCGATGGAACTCAGTAGTGGACTGTTTTGAGCACTATATCAAGAACTGGCCTAATCTGATGACAGTTGTGAACAAAATCGTGAAAAAACAGATGGCACTGTCACAGCCAAAGTTCTCAACATTGGGTTTAAGAGAAATGCTGAATACATGCTGAGTATCCTGAAGCCTATCTCTGTAGCCTTGAACAAAATGCAGGAAATAGCTTTTATTTTATTTTATTTAAATAGGTTTTATTGCTGACGCTGTTGAAATTTGGAAGGAACTGAGTGAGATCTTAAAAAGAGAAATATGCAATGACAGAGTTAACTTACAATCACTGAAAAAACGAATGGGACAAGCACTGTCTCCAGCTCATTTTCTTGCAAATATTCTCAATATATTAATGATTAACCTGTTGAACTGAAGATATTTATGAAGTCATTGGAAGGTAAACTATCTGCTTCAATTACCTTTGGTAAATGAAATAACCAAACAATCATTCATTTTCTGATATAGCTGTAAAACTAATCTGAAAAGTTTTCAAAATAAATCACTTTAAAAAATGTATAGTGTGTACCTTCTAAAAAGGAAACCAACATCTATCTCTGAGTTGTGAAGGATATGTATTAAGGTTATAACAACCAACAAGAATGCACTTTTATGTAAGAATCCATGATTAAATCAAGTCTTCCCGAGTACCTGCCTAGATAAAGCCTATACCAGGGGTAGGCAACCTTTCAGAAGCGGTGTGCCGAGTCTTCATTTACTTACTTTAATTTAAGGTTTCGTGTGCCGGTAATACATTTTAACGTTTTTTAGAAGGTCTCTCTCTATAAGTCTATATATTATATAACTAAACTATTGTTGTATGTAAAGTAAACAAGGTTTTCAAAACATTTAAAAAGCTTCATTTAAAATTAAATTAAAATGCTGATCTTACGCCACCAGCCTGCTCAGCTCGCTGCCAGCCTGGCGTTCTGTTCACCTAGACCGGCAGCGGGCTGAGTGGGGCCTGACCTCTGAAGCCCCCCACAGCCCCAGAAGGGTGGAGGGGAGTGGGGGAGTGCAGGGCAGAAGGCTGGAGGGTGTGGGGGGCTTCAGAGGTCAGGGCAGAGGGCTGGGGGTGTGGGGGGTGCAGGGCAGAAGGCTGGGGGGGTGGGGGGCTTCAGAGGTCAGAGCAGAGGACTGGAGGGGTGTGGAGGGTGCAAGGCAGAAGGCTGGGGGTGGGATGGGTCAGGGCAGAGGGCTGGGGTGTGTGTGGAGGTGCAGGGCAGAAGGCTGGGTGTGGGGGAGGTTCAGGGCAGAGGGCTGGGGTGCTCGGCTCATGGGGGTGCTCCCAGCCCCCTGCCCTCTGCGGCTCATGGCAGGGGGCTGGAAGGGATATGTCCTGTTCTACCCCCTGCCCCAAGGCCCATCCCTACCTCTTCTCTGCCTCCTTTACCCAGGGCCGGCTTTAGCAAGGGGCTGCCGCGCGCCGGCTGGAGCTCCGGCCGGGAGAGCGGGGCCGCGGGGCTTTTGCAGAGCAGCAAACACGCTGCCACTCCTCCCCCCTCCCTTTGCAAGGGCCGGCGCAGGGAAGGAGAGGAGGAGGGGCAGGAAAGCAGGCTGCACCACGGCTGGGGGAAGGAGCGGGGGAGCTTGGCTGCTGCAGGATGGAGCTTCTGCCTCCTGCCCCAGCAGGGGAGAGCGGTGGGCGGGGGGGCTGAGTGCGGCTGGGGGTCGGAACCGCGGCAGGCAGCCGCGTGCCATTCAAAATCGGCTCGCGTGGCGTGTTTGGCACACGTGCCGTAGGTTGCCGACCCCTGGCCTAAACTATCCAAAACTAAGAGGAATCAATCACGGAACCAGAAAGATAGGCCTCATAGAAGTCAGAGGATCCAAAAAGGCGTTTAATTTTCTAAATATGCCCATGTTTTGAAAGTCTGCATTCCTAATCCTCAGCTTCCCCAGAGACTGATGCCATTAGCAATTAGCAGTTACTCATCTTTCTCTAAAGGAATCTTTCCCACAGGTCCTGCTGATAGGATAAGACATGTCTTAGGCCTTATCTACACTACAATATTTTGTTGACAAAACAGTGAACTGAAGCACTACAAAAAAAAAAAAAAAAAAGGGGAGCCCCCAGAGGGCCCCAAAACCCCCGGGGGGGGGCGGACGGGCGGCCCCGGGGGCGGGGGGGGGGGGGGGGGGTGGGGGGGGGGGGGCAGGCTGACGGCCGGCAGCCGCGGCCGGAGGAGCGAGGGGGGGCGCAGGCTGGCAGCCCGCAGCGCAGCTGGCAGCCATGGGGGGGGCGCGGCGGGCGTGGCCGGGGGAGCGGGGGGGGGGGCACAGCATGGCGGTCGGCAGCCGCGGCCAGAGGAGCAAGGGGCGGGCCACAGGGGTGGCACGGCAGGGCCGGAGGAGCCATGGGGGGGTGGGAGGGGCGGTGCGGCCACAGGAGGAGCCAAGGGGGGGGGCGTGGAGCGGCCGGAGGAGGAGCCAAGGGGGCGGGGCCAGAGGAGGAGCACCTTTTTTATGTTTGCTCCCCCTCCTCTTAGAAGCTGGCTACGCCCCTGCCTCTACAGTACCTATTTTTCCAGAGCCTGAAACTTCAGTGGCTCAGGATGATTTTGATGGTTTGTTACTGGGCTTGGCTGATTTTTACAATTCACCACCACCATGAGATATAAATCAAGCAAGTCCAAACCTGTTTCAATATATCTACAGATTTTTGGTAATACGCTACTTCAGGAAAGGTCTGTGAGCTTGATCTTATGAGAAACTAAGCATCCTCAGCTCCTGTTATAAACAATGGGAATTGAGGGTGCTCAACACCTTAAGGTATGAGGGCTTGAGTGAGGGAGTTTGGGAGAGGAATTGTAATTTGTGAGACTGTTTCACTCAAGGTCTATTTTTTGGAGGGTAGAGGGAATTTGTAATAAGGCCCACCTAGTAGATTTGTTAAGGTTACTCAGGAAGCCTTAACTGTGTGCATGTCTATATAATCTTTAGTTACACAATCACACAAAATTTAAGGATAAAGGCCTTAGTAGTAGAATGACCGTCAAAGGTAGCCAGCTTTTTTATTCTCTTCCAATTCCATTTCCACCAGGCTTACATGCAGAGAAACTAATTAAATATTCTATGCAGAGTCAAAAACTGTTTTAATTATCAAACTTGGTAATATTTATGAATAGGTTGAAGAGCAAGCCTGCCCAAATTAGTTGACCCACAATGAGTTTTAGCACTGCCTTCAAGTTTTTTCCTCATGAAACCTGCCCCTATGTAGGGTGGAGGCATGGGTGAGCACGGGACCTATTGCTGTGGAGATCCTCTGCTTTACTTTCTTTGTGCCAGGGGAGGGGGTCACAGGCTATGCTCTACTTATCAGGCTAGAGTAGCCTCTCCTCTGTGGCCTGGGGGCCATTTTCTTCCTCTTGCATGCGGATAGGCCCAATCATTGCGTGGGAAGTTGCTCTTTCATCTGTACCTCAGTGTTCTCATCTCAAAGCCTGAACTTTGAGATGTGCTTTGAGATTACAGCCAAAAAGCAATAAACTCTGAACATTTCTTTGCACTTATCAACATTTACTATCCACTAGAACAAATGTAGTATATATGGGTATCCAGTGCCACAAAGAAAATGTTTTTGTTTTTTAAATAAATGAAACATTTCTATTCTTATTAACTTTTGCAGCCATCCATCTACTTGAAAAAAAAAATCCAAATGTTGGAAGATCGTCAAGGTTTGAAGGACAAAGATTGTGCCAGGTTGCTGGTATGATACAGCCATGCCATCCTGTCCCTTCACTTCGCTTGCCTGCTTGGTTCCTGAAATTGACAAGAATCTCTATTAAGGCTTAAAAGAGGAAAGTCTTGTCTATACACAAAATTTGCACCGATTTAGCTCTAGTGTCAACTGAATTAAGAGCATCCACATAGGGGTTTACTCCAGTTTAAATTCATTTTTTTTTAAATCTAATTTTGTTAAACTAGTGCAATTTTTGTGCATATACAAGGCTAAAAATTCTTGTGATCCCCCATACACTAACAACTTACAACAGTGACCCAGACAGAAAGTTGGGGTGGGAGTCTGCATGGAGGATGACAAGGGAAAAATCAGAGGAGAGCTATGCTTGCACATCTGCCCAGAGCCATGCCAAACAATAGGGCACTGGGTTTGTTTCAGCAATTTCTCTAGAACACAAAAATCTAAGACTGCTGTTGAAAACGCTGGAAAAAAATTCCTCCGAGATCACAAAAGTGGCCTGCATAGAATATACACATTAAGATAGGTACTACTTTGAGCAGGGCCATCCCTAGCTATTTTGGTGCCCGTGCGGGGGTAGGGGTGTGGCCCCAGGCCTTCGGGGGGGGGGGGGGGGGGGGGGGGCCCCCCCCCCCGCGGCCCGGGGGGCGGGGGGGGGGGGGGGGGGGGGGGGGGGGGGAAACCATCCCCCAGCACTCGCAGGCAGCGCAGCTGGGAGCCAGGGGAGTGGAGCAGGCTGGGGCCAGGTCGCTCAACTTACCGGTGAGTGCAGGCTCAACTGCTTCTGGAGTCCTCGGGGGAATGGGGGTGGGAAGAGGTGGGGTGGAGGCCCTGGGGAAGAGCCGGAGCAGGGGCTGGAGCAGCACGCAGGTGCCCCAAATTTCCTGGTGCCCTACGCAGCTGCGTACTTTGCCTATGGGTAAGGACAGCCCTAACTTTGAGATGGCCATTGCAACTTTAACACTAGATGACCACTCAATTTTCAGCTATGATCATATTTTCACAGCAGAATCAATGGCTATCAGAAATCATTGGTAGTTTTCAATGCATTTTAAAATCAAGGATCTTAATAATTTGACAGATACAAGTAAACAATCTAAGCAACAAGGGGGTAACAGAACTCTGCATGTGACTGGGGTGTGCCAACATATCCAATCAAACCTCTGGAAAGGCTGTTGAACAGTGCAGAAGATAAGCGGGGGAGGGGGGGGGGGGGGGAGAAGAAGATCACCAGGAACTCAGAAGGGTTAAAAAATGATGGATAATGAGAAAATCCAGAATTACATAGGGTAGGAAAAAATTATAAGGGCTCATGCTTATGGGATAAACCAGCCACTAACTGACAGGGGTTAAGAAGAAACTTTCCCAATGGGCAGAATAACTGTTCTTGGGGCTGCTTGCATTTTCCTCTGAAGCAGCTGGTAACAGACATCGCTGAAAGACAGGATACTAGGCTAGATGGATCCTAATCTCTAACTGGGGCAGCTTCATCATTAAACAATGGTGTCAGCAGACAATCACCCACTCATCACTCCATCCCTCCCAAAAAGCCCAGCCATCCAATCCCTCAGATCCACCCTTCCCCTCCACAACCCTTCCCTTTATCTACCTTGCTACTCTGCCATCCCACCTGCTCAGTGATCCCCAGCCATCCCTCCTTATCTACATCTCACCCGTACAGTGCACACCCAGCTATACACTCCAAACCCAACCAAACATCCCCTATAACCCCAGGCAACCCTCCTATCCACCCCCCACCCAACCCAAGCTCCCCCCATAACCCCACCCATCCACCCCCCACCCAACCCAACCTCCCCTATAACCCCACCCATCCTTCCTATCCATCCCCCAACCCCACCCATCCCAACCCCATCCCCCCTCCCCTAACACCACCCATCCCCCATCTAGACCCCCTCCCCCCTCCCCTAACATCCCCCATCTAGACCCCATTCCCCCGACCCCACCCATCCCCCATACCTCCTCCCTTAACCCCACCCATCCATCCCCCCGAACCCCACCCGCCCCACTCCGGTGCTGCCCCGGCCTGACTCAGCCCCCCGGCACGGGGCGGGCGGTACCTCTTGAGGTATCTGGCGTCCTCCCCCTGCATGGTGCCGCGGGGGTGCCGGGCCGGGGGCGGCTCTGCAGCGGCCGCTGTTACCAGGGTGAGAGCAGCGCCAGCCCCGCCCGCCCAGCTCTCCCTAGCGCGCAGGCGCAGTGAGACCGCAGGCCGCGTCATCGCCGCGTGACTGATTTGGCGCTGCCTGTGCAGAACGAGATTGGGCTCAGAGGAGCGGGACCTGCACATCGCCCCCTGGACGCAGGGAGGAGACACTGCCTGAGCTCATGGCCATCCCTGGCAAGGTTGGGCGGGCTCCCTGGCTGAGTCTGTGCAGCAGCTTCCCTGCCCAGGGCCCCCCACCCAGGCTGCACCAGCCCCAAGTTCCCCCTGTGGGTCAAGCAGGGGGCCAGCACGTGACACAGCATCTGGGGGCAGAACTGGTGTGAAGACCAGTTCAGCTACCCTAGTTCCAGACCCAGTCATAGGACTGACCTGATGTGGAGGTAGGGTGACCAGATGTCCCATTATTAGGGGCTTTGTCTTATATGGGCAACTATACGCACCCCAGCCCCTCAAAAAAGCATCCCTATTTTCACACTCTATGTGGAGGCATCCTGATCTGTTTATACTGAACTGGTTTCAGTATAAACAGTCCAGGCCACCTTAAATTGCTTAGCACCAGGTCCATTGCTGTGATCAGTGTAAGTTGCACCCAGTATGGCCAACCTCAAGCATCCAACAGTCATGAGTCAGGCACCAAAAAAATCATGAAAACAACAAGGAGTCCAATGGTACCTTAAAGACTAACAGATTTATTTGTGCATAAGCTTTCATGGGTAAAAAAAAAAGCTTATGCCCAAATAAATCTGTTAGTCTTTAAGGTGCCACCGGACTCCTCGTTGTTTTTGTGGATACAGACTAACATGGCTACCCCTCTGATACTTGACACCACGCAAGAAAAAAATCATGAGACTTTTCATAAATAATAACATTGGGGCTCTTTTTCTTTGCCTTTTTGTTTTGAGACTCTAGGTTACACTTGGGTCACATTTTCCAACTTTTCTCCACAACATGAGGGCTAGGAAGTATCTTTTAATGAAAACCGAGATTCTCATACTATCGGTTGTCTCCAGGAACTAGAGCTTGAGGGAAAACACCAAATATTACAAGACTTGTGATAAAATTGTGAGAGTCAGCAATGCTGGGAACCATTTTTAAAACTGCTTAGAAAACAACCCCATTGCAGACAGACCGCAGGGGCAAAGATGCTAGGACAAACACCCACTCTTCCTTGAAGCGTTATGGTGTCTGCCAGACCTGCACCTCTCCAGATCCAGGTCTCCTACCTGCAGGTAAAGTGAAGGAACTCAGTTTATCTGCCTTGGATGGTTTCAGCAAAGCATAAGTAAAAAACCTGATATTTCAGCCACAAAGCCACCATTTCTGATCTGTGCAGGGCTTCTTTAAAAAAATGCTCTGGATGTAAATAAAAAATAATCCCAAACAAATCACATATGGGCTGAAATTTCCCACATTTATGCACAGTAAGGAATCATAGAATATCAGGGTTGGAAGGGACCTCAGGAGGTCATCTAGTCCAACCCCCTGCTCAAAGCAGGACCAATTCCCAACTAAATCATCCCAGCCAGGGCTTTGTCAAGCCGGGCCTTAAAAACCTCCAAGGAAGGAGACTCCACCACCTCCCTAGGTAACGCATTCCAGTGCTTCACCACCCTCCTAGTGAAATAGTGTTTCCTAATATCCAACCTAGACCTCCCCCACTGCAACTTGAGACCATTGCTCCTTGTTCTGTCATCTGCCACCATTGAGAACAGCCGAGTTCCATCCTCTTTGGAACCCCCCTTCAGGTAGTTGAAGGCTGCTATCAAATCCCTCCTCATTCTTCTCTTCTGGAGACTAAACAATCCCAGTTCCCTCAGCCTCTCCTCATAAGTCATGCGCTCCAGACCCCTAATCATTTTTGTTGCCCTCCGCTGGACTCTTTCCAATTTTTCCACATCCTTCTTGTAGTGTGGGGCCCAAAACTGAACACAGTACTCCAGATGAGGCCTCACCAATGTCGAATAAAGGGGAACGATCACGTCCCTCGATCTGCTGGCAATGCCCCTACTTATACAGCCCAAAATGCCGTTAGCCTTCTTGGCAACAAGAGCACACTGTTGACTCATATCCAGCTTCTCGTCCACTGTGACCCCTAGGTCCTTTTCTGCAGAACTGCTACCTAGCCACTCGGTCCCTAGTCTGTAGCAGTGCATAGGATTCTTCCGTCCTAGGTGCAGGACTCTGCACTTGTCCTTGTTGAACCTCATCAGGTTTCTTTTGGCCCAATCCTCTAATTTGTCTAGGTCCCTCTGTAGCCGATCCCTACCCTCTAGTGTATCTACCACGCCTCCTAGTTTAGTGTCATCGGCAAACTTGCTGAGAGTGCAGTCCACACCATCCTCCAGATCATTAATAAAGATAGTAAACAAAACCGGCCCCAGGACCGACCCTTGGGGCACTCCGCTTGAAACTGGCTGCCAACTAGACATGGAGCCATTGATCACTACCCGTTGAGCCCGACGATCTAGCCAGCTTTCTATCCACCTTACAGTCCATTCATTCAGCCCATACTTCTTTAACTTGGCAGCAAGAATACTGTGGGAGACCGTATCAAAAGCTTTGCTAAAGTCAAGGAATAACACATCCACTGCTTTCCCCTCATCCACAGAGCCAGTTATCTCCTCATAGAAGGCAATTAGGTTAGTCAGGCACGACTTCCCCTTGGTGAATCCATGCTGACTGTTCCTGATCACTTTCCTCTCCTCTAAGTGTTTCATAATTGATTCCTTGAGGACCTGCTCCATGATTTTTCCAGGGACTGAGGTGAGGCTGACTGGCCTGTAGTTCCCCGGATCCTCCTTCTTCCCTTTTTTAAAGATGGGCACTACATTAGCCTTTTTCCAGTCATCCGGGACCTCCCCGGATCGCCATGAGTTTTCAAAAATAATGGCTAATGGCTCTGCAATCTCATCCGCCAACTCCTTTAGCACCCTCGGATGCAGCGCATCCGGCCCCATGGACTTATGCACGTCCAGTTTTTCTAAATAGTCCCGAACCACTTCTTTCTCCACAGAGGGCTGGTCACCTTCTCCCCATATTGTGCTGCCCAGTGCAGCAGTCTGGGAGCTGACCTTGTTTGTGAAGACAGGCAAAAAAATCATTGAGTACATTAGCTTTTTCCACATCCTCAGTCACTAGGTTGCCTCCCTCATTCAGTAAGGGGCCCACACTTTCCTTGAAGAGAGAGGAAGAGAGTTTTGTGTGTTGCAGCAGTTTGGTAAAGTTTCCTTTGGGGATTATTGAAAGCTCCATGGTATATTTTGTTCATTTGCATTCAGATAACTAAACTCTTGCAATTTTATCAGAAGTCTCACAATAGCTAGTGTTTTTCTTAAAGCCCCAGTTCCTGGATGCATGTGATTAGGTGAGACTTTCAGCTTTCTCTTAAAAACAAAGTTTCTAGCCCTTAGGGTTGCAGAGAAAAGCTTGAAAATGTGATCTGTGGGCACCCTAAAGGCTCACAAACCTGTAGACAAAGAACTATATCTATCCATCTATATCATGATTTGTATGCCAAACTCAGGATTTTTGGGTACCTGGCTCATGATCTTTGAACTTTTGTGGTTGGAAATACTGAAACGGGTTCATTTTAAAATCTCAGAAGCATATGCAAACATAGGCCTGATGTTGCAAAACATATGCATGTGAGCAATTTTTATATGTAGTAATTATGTACGTATCTCTCTCTTACAAATGGAAAACTGACGCATAGTGAAGCAATTTGCCTGTGGCCATCACATATGGTAAAACTTAGATTAGCACTCTGATTTTGCTCAGTCCACTAGGCCTTTCTGGCTCTCAATATAAAGAAACGCAACTGTTCTTAAATAGACAAAAAATAATGCACATTGCATGAACCATCTGCTTCCCCCTCCCATACCCAGTGTTTATAATCTTCTTGTTTCTCAACCTGACTATTTTAAACAAGGCAATCCATACTATTATTTGTTTTGTGGTAGCACCTGAGAGACCCTGTCATAAACAGGGAACCCATTGTGCTAAGCACTGTATAAACACAGCACAAAAAGATAGGGACTATAAGCCCTAAAGAACTTACAGTCTAAGAAAGCACCATAGCCCCAATCTTACATAAGAACGGCCAGACTGGGTCAGACCAATGGTCCATATAACTCAGTATCCTGTCTTCCGACAGTGGCCAATGCCAGGTGCTTCAGAGAGAATGAACAGAATAGGCAATCATTGAGTGATCGATTCCCAGTTATCCACTCCCAGCCTCTGCTGAACACCCAGAGCATGGTGTTGTAAAATATCTTGCAAAACATGTGGGCAACTTTACATAAACAAGGGCAGCTTGTAGATGGTCTCCTAGCGGGATTGGGAGAATCTGCTGTCACCCAACCTTGACGATGTGGCTATCTTTTCTGATTCATGGGCAGAACACCTGGAGCATCTGCAAAAAGTCTTTGAGCGCATAAGGGAGGCAGGACTAACTGTTAAAGCAAAAAAGTGTGAAATAGGCCTAAACAGAGTGACTTACCTTGGACACCAGGTGGGTCAAGGAACTATCAACCCCCGACAGGCCAAAGTGGATGCTATCCAAAAGTGGCCTGTCCCAAAGTCAAAGAAACAGGTCCAATCCTTCTTAGGCTTGGCCAGACAATACAGGCGATTTGTACCACACTACAGCCAAATCGCTGCCCCACTGACAGACCTAACCAAAAAGAAACAGCCAAATGCAGTTCAGTGGACTGAAGAGTGTCAGAAGGCCTTTAACCAGCTTAAAGCGACACTCATGTCTGACCTGTGCTAAGGGCCCCAGACTTTGACAAACTGTTCCTAGTAACCACAGATGCAGCCGAGCGTGGCGTGGGAGCAGTTTTAATGCAGGAAGGACTGGATCAAGAATTCCATCCTGTCGTGTTTCTCAGCAAGAAACTGTCTGAGAGGGAAAGCCACTGGTCAATCAGCGAAAAGGAATGCTACGCCATTGTGTATGCGCTGGAAAAGCTACACCCATATGTTTGGGGAC